TGTTGGCTGAGGTCCATTGATCCCATAGTTGCCAGTTAGTAGAAGGGAAAAAATATGGCTTGCTAAGGTATCTCAAAATCTGGAGTTGAAATCATATTCTTTAAGTTCAAAGCGTATTCATATCATGAAAACACCGGTATTTATGCAGGTAAAGAAGCAAAACAAGAAGTTACTACAAACACATTTGGTTCCAGGGTGGAAAAAACAAGCCGCCATGGGGGAGGGTTGGTTTGGTTTGGGGTGTGGATTTTTTTGGTGTGAAGAGACTATGGAGTCTCCTCCTCAGACAGGCTAGGAAATTCTTCTCACTGGACATTATTAAAAGGTTGGCCAGATTATCAGGCCAACTGTCAGGCCTGCAATAGGTGTAGGTGATCCTACTTGGCTGTAAGAGTTCTCTTCCAGCCCTGTTATTCTAAGGTTTTTTCATTATTTTAGTAATCGGTTGCTTTTCCTGAAATACTAATTTACACTTGATAAGATGAAAGAACCGTTTTAAGGAGCAAATTGAAGAATATACATGTTATGGTATATAAAAGAACATAAATAGACAAAAACTATATTAAGAATATACACATAGAAAGGGGTATATTGAAGAATACACTCCTGTTTCAGAGTCCCAGAATGTTTCTCTTTTTCTTTTTTCTGCTATCTCAGTGCGCGCTTATTGAACTCAAATTCTGAAAAAATTAGATATCACTCTACTGAAAATAGATGCGTGAAGATGGTACTGAAAAAGCAAAATCGGAACTAGAGCAATGCAGGAACAGAAGTTGCTGCATTCTGATTACATCTGTGTCATCCTACTTACAAATATTCACATTCACCTGTCCGATGGTCAGGTGAACGGCCTCGAATGACTTTAGCTAGCAGAATTGGCACTGGGGATATTTACACCGTCTGACTCCAGGCACGCATTTGAAGCCTAAGCCAGGAGCACGGCGTCCCAGGCCTCCTGCCTGCCACGGGAGTGAGCTCTGCTCCCTCCAAGGGGGCTTCACCTCCTCTTTTCCGCAGGCAGCCCAAGGACACGGCTTTTGGGGCTGGCAACTGCCTGAAAGTAAAAAGTGCTAATAATCCCTCGATTCCCAGCAGGAGGACACAACAGCTGCCCACCCTGCCGTGCCCACTCTTGCCGGCCCCCCGCGCGCTGCAGCGGTAATCAGGCAAGCAGCAGCTTTCCGGCAAGAACCAAGTTCTGGCACAAGCACAGAGGCGGCACCACAAGGCTCCATGAGCATCAAGGGGCTGCTTGAATTTGCTGGAGTCAACGGAAACACACGGGCAGTCAAAAGCCCCTGAGGCCTCAAATAAACTCTTTTAAAGAGTCTGCTGAAAAATCTCTTGCTGAGACCGTTGCATACCATCTTCCCTGGGCTTGGAAGGGGGTCTGAAGGTGGTGGGCCTTGGCAGGAGGGCACTACATATAAATTAATGTATTGAAGTTAAGGGAACTACATAAAGAATGAAAGTTCAGCTTGGCTTTGTTTTATGCCATTTTTGCTAGCAGCTTACTTCTGACTTCATGCACTAGACGGTAACAATTTATTCCAGATTCCCTGGCAGGTGCCCCAGCCCCAGTCGATGCCGCGGCACCCCCAAAGCCCCAGCGAGCCCTTTGCTGCCCTGCACAGCAGAGTCCTCTGGGCTCATGCGGGCAATCCTCACGTGCAAAATCTTGCAGCCTTGGCACAGACTATCAGCCAGCAAGCTACCGCTGGAAGTACTTCTTGAAGTAGTCTACAAGCAAGGGCTCTGAAGAGGAGGAGTCACAACGATGCACTGTAGACAAAGGAAGGGACTGGGCTGACTCTTTGTTATTCATGGATTGTTTTATGCCTCCGTGAGAAACATTCACGGGCCGAGTGAAACGGAAACGTGCAGCTGCGTTTTCCCATTCTGAATTTTTTAGGATCCTGGCACAAGCAACTTGTGCGCAGCTGGCTACGTAAACACTCAGGTTGGCCACAAGCATCAAGGCACGATCTGTTCTTCTTGACAAAATACTCTCCTAATCTATATTGAATGGAATAACATTTTTACAAGTAACTTGACTCTAAAAAATAAAGAAAGAAAAGAGTATGATCTAGGCAGTGTCTTCTCACGCCACAAATGAAATGGGCAATCCCAAACAGCCAGCTTTGGCTTGAAGAACTTGATACCGCATCTGGCAAAACGAGAGGACGAAACACCTGCTCCTCTCCTGATGTTAATGAAACCTTAAACAACATCTGCTAAAGATAGTAAAAGCTTTGTAGGTGGCAATTTGAATCTTTTTAAAGTCTTGTGCCTCTTTCCACTGCAATCTGGTTTTAAAAACTTCACACACCCCCAAATTTATCCGGAGAACAAAGAGCAGCGGGTACTTCCCAGAGGGAGAGAAAACTTGCGTGTCTGATGAGATTACCAGCAAGTGCCTGAACTCACATCCGTGGCTGTAGAGGCAGCACACACAGACGCACACCCCCCGCAGACCAAACACAGCCAGTGGAGCTGGGTCAGCTCATAGGAAGTGAAGACAGCAGGTGGCAACAACTCTGAACCATCATCAACCTGCCGTGGATTTGAACCGGTGCACGATGGCTAAAAGGCTGAGTCGTAATCCCCCGAACTAGAAAATGTGCTCGAAACCTCATCTGGGGATACTTCAACTGAGAGGATTCAAGACAGTCTTCTGTAATATGCCCTCCGACACAAAAATGGACAATTGCCCCAAAGCCACACTTCTGAGGAGCCCAGAATTGTCACCAAAAAGTGGATTCCTGTAACTTTACAGCTGCCCTTGAAGGCAGCACTATCTCGGTGGCTTTGGGGAGACTAGGGTTTAATTCTGCGTGAACAGATAAACAAGGCTCTGGAAAGGGACAACCTGGCAGTCCTGACCCAGATTTTATGCTCAGTGATGGCTCTATTCCTCTTTAATTTGAACATAATAAATATCAATCTTTTTATTTAATGCTGCTTAAAATGGATCGATTCCACAGTAACTGTTATTAGAAAAGAGCACATGAACGATGTGGAGTTCTAATCATATTTGTATTTCCCTCAAAAATGGCAGTGTCAATAAATAAAAAGGGCTTGAGCAAGAGCCACCAGTTTTCTGTTACAAAAATTCAAGCAAGTGCTGAAGTTTATGGTGTAATAAGCCAGGTGTGGGGAGCCTGAGGTGAGTTTGTGAATACGTACATGACTTTGCACACTTTATACGGGGTATTAAATCAGCAGCGCACTTGCTGTGGTAACCACAGTGGGTGAAAATGCTGCAGTACGGTGCGGAGCCCTTGACAGTTGTGCCCCCTGCGAAATGACAGGCACTTTTCTTACCTAGGATGAGCTTGGAGTTATCGCTGGGGAAGTAAGGAACGGCCTGGAGGCTGGCCCAGGTGGCAGTCAGAGCCTGAGGAAGAGTCATCAGCTTATTGCTAGACAGGTCCAGGTATGTGATATTCTTGACATAACGAGCAGCATCTGGAGGGACTGAGGTAAGTTCGTTGTTGTGTAAATCCAGAAGCCTTAGCTGTGGCATGTCAGCCAGGGTTTCCCAGGGGAATGATATTAAGGCGTTCCCATCCAGCCTCAGCTCCTGCAAGCGACGGAGGCCCTTGAAGGTGATCCCGCTGAGGCTGGCCAGGGAGTTATAGGGCATCCAGAGGTACTCCAGGTTGTGGAGCGCGTGGAAAGCCTCTCCTGGCACCCTGCGGACGGCTGTCTTTTCTATCCGAAGCTTGGACGTATCTACAGGGATGTTGACAGGGGTGAGGGTCATCTCCGGGTCATTACACAGCACTGTCCTGGTGGGAAAACACAAACACAGATGTGACTTCCTTGTGTTTTGAAAAGGTTTTGAAACTTTACTTTAATGCAAGATTTTGATCTGCCTTTCTTTCTCCACAGGCTTTCTCCTTGTCATCTCTTACTTGCTGCTGATCTCTACATCGTCACCATAAGTACATCAACTTGCAGTAATTCACGTGTACCTTTTGACTGCAGAGATTGCAGCGTTGTGCCTCACCTGGTGTGGTGTGAGTCTGAGTCTGGCCCATACAGTGTTTCTGGGTTTTTTTTTCCTTTCAATTTTTTTTTAGAGTACTTATGATAGGCAGCAGTGACAACATTCATGCACAACAGAGGATTCTAGTGCATGTTAAAACACAAGGATCCATAAATCGAACAATAAAAGACATACGAAAAGAAGCCTTACTGACGTGTGGGATGGCAGGAGGTAATATAGGTTAAATACAGCACGGGCTTTTTGGTTCGTGGAATGAGGATAAGAAAGTCACAACAACTCACTGGAAATACACTACAGCAAGCTCTGCTTTACTATGAAATAGTCTGGAAGGTGTGTCTGGATGGAAGCAGTCACTGCACCGCAGGCATGTACAGTTATGAGAGCGAAAGTGCAAAAAATTAACTCCTTGGAAAATGCTATACTAAAAACAAGGCAGATTTATGTGTCTTAATTGTTCCTTCCCATTTCTAATCTCTAGAGGTCAAATCATGAAAACCCCGTGCTGCATTTTCGCAGCCTTCGTACAAAAAAAATTGTGACTTTGACTTTGCCAAGATGTGGGATTGTAGATAGCCGTGAGGAATGAAGGGAGACAAAACAGGTCTCTCAGTCTGCACTTCAATTTGCCTATCAGCAAGGAGAGAAAGGCAAGTTCTTAACAAAATACAAAGCCACCTTGCAAAAGGTAACAGGTTAGATAGGCACGTCCCACTCCGCATGCTAAACAAGATACCGCAAGAAATGTAATGTGATCAGTCAAGTAGCATTTTCTTATCACGCTGCCTGGCTGATAAACAGAGTATTACAAAGTTGCCAAAACCAGATTGGTTTTGGCTGAAAGCAATTATTCCTCTACTATCAACAAAAGCAAGTAACATCGCTGAACTGCTCATGCAAGCCTTCCGGAGTTAGATGTTATTTGATCCTACAGTTAAATTGTTAATTTATAATCAAAGCGTAGTGCATTACTCCCATCCAGCACCTTTATTGTGGCATTAAATCCTGCCCACCCTCAGCTGAAAGTTGAGATTTTGAGGAAGAGAAAAATCTATCAAATAAGAAAAATCCAGAAATCCTCTTTCAATAAAACATTTTTTTTTTGTGTAGGCATGACACAAACTGTTTGATAACGGAGACACTACGGCAGTAAAAGAGTGTGCTTCTCATAGTGTCCCTAAACCATGTCAGTGAGCACTAAACATTTAATCTATGGGATAATCTCCTACTAGTGAGAAATACGAATCATAATGCAGGAAAAAAGGTGACATTATGCTCCTTAAGGGACTAATGGATATTTGCTTTGTTATGTATCTTACCAAAACACACTACAGCTTTTTCCAGTCACTGAGAGGCAATTCCCCTGGGAAGTGTGACATTTATGGAGCAATAATTGGCTCTCCCGCTATTGCACTCCCTGTTAACAGCTGCAGACTACTTCTGTCTCAACCACGTTTCTTACTGGGAAAGTTTCTGATATTAATTCTATAGTGCCATAAAAGAGATAAGAAAGTAGATCTTTTTAAGGGGATCCAAAATATAGGGACAGCCTTTCATTTCCGTACTGTGGTCTTGTCTAGAAAAAATTTCTTCCAAAGGATTTTGCAAATACTGTATCTCTGTCACAAAACCTCCTCTACTGTCAACCACCCCTTATAAAAATGTAGCCTGTATTTCATTGTCAGATCATTACTTTGTGATTACCCTTCAGAAAGACTTTTTTATTACAGTCCTCCAGAGAAGTGTCTGTACAACGGCATTGCATTCAAAAATGGATGCCCTTCTGGTCTTGTCGTCTTTTTTAACAGAAAGTTTCCCGTCTGAGAATGATCTTATTTTATTTTTATTATTATTATTATCCATTTTTTTGGTTCATTCTCACCTACAGCCTATCGCTTTACCTGAAGTCTCCATCTGAAGGATTTTTTTTAAGTAAATGGAATTGCAGGTTTTGGTACCACAACATAAACCAAATCTGGTTACACTTTAGAAACAAACCAGCAGAGCAGAATAAAGCCTTTTAAAACTAGCATTTTCAGCATAAAGGTACAAAAAAGAAAATGTCGTTGAAATTTTATTCCCTTTTTGCCATTGCACCAGCGGTAATTATGTCACTTCTGTTCTCGCAGAGGAGATGCCCAAACGCTTTCTCTGAAATCAGCTTACTGTGTTTTCAGAAGCTAATCCTCTGCAAATAAAGCTAGAGCACAAAGCGACTGGAAAAATAACGGACACGAAGCCTGGACGCAATATTTTCTCCTCCGAGCATCCTTACAGAGGAGAAGAAATAAAATCCCCGACACCCGGAGAAAGAGCGGCAACCCCCCGCGGGGAGAGTATCGGCATACCTGGCTTTCGTCCCTTCGCTGAGGCTGTGGAAGGCGCAGCTGCACTGCGATGGGCACAAGCCGCCCGCCCCTGGCCGCCCTCCGAGCGGCAAGCAGCAGAGCAAACACACAAGCCGCCCGCCCCTGGCAGCCCTCCGAGCGTCAAGCAGCAGAGCAAACTCACCACGATCCTCATGGCTACCTGTGCATGGGAAGGACACCTGGGCGCTAGACAACGTGGAGGGCTTCGCCTATTGTTTTATCCATTGACTGGTCACATCTTGTTAACTCCCTTTCGTTTTCAGCCGCGCTGTGATCTTCCAGCCTTCGCTGAGTCCATCAGATAAAAAAGGATAGGCAGGGATTAAGGATGGGGACTTGAGTTATTTTCATGAAGGTGCTTATTGCTTCCTGGAAGCGTACTGACAGCATTTCTTCCCTCAGGGCGCCCCATCAAAACACCCTCCTTGGGCAATCTGTGGCTCTTGTGCAAGCAAAAAAGCAAACACACTTTTTGGGGACCTGCATCACAGGCAAGATAACTGCTGTCTGACCAGGAATGAGCAATAATTTACTTCCTCGCAGGGAACTTAAAAACAGTTTCTTGTGCTAATGGAACATAAGCCTCCTATATAAGAATACGAAAAATATACAGTGATACTATTAAAAGGCTTTATTTTCTTTTTAAAACTCCTAGTTTGATCAAGCAATTATTGAACTGTTGGCAACTTGCCTGATACTAATAAACAATGAATAACCCAGTAAATGTGCACCTATGTCGGTTTATATTAGGGCTAGCACACGCCTGCAGGACTGAGCACTGTGCTCTGTCTTGCCGATACAGCAAAGCCCAGGTGAGGGACCATTTTGGGGAGCACCACCTGATGCAGGGCCGTGCGACAGCTTCAGGAATGCTAAGAAAAGCTCAGCTCTGTCTTAAGGACAGCCCAGGACCGACTGTCAAATTATTTTTGTCCGCTCCCCTTGAAGACAGTTGTCTCCCATCTATTAGCAAAGGCAGCCATAATTGCAAAGCTGATGGAGACCACCCATGTTTTCAGCAGTCTTCATCTAACTCCAGAGAACGCTCTACATGTGAGAAAAGTGGAGCCCAAATATGCACAAATATAAAGCTTAAGAAGTTGCCACTTGAGACGGGAGCAGAATTCTATTCATACCAGCAAGGACATCTCACATTTATAAAGACTATTCTTTTCTGTTGAGTGTGAAAATACGTAAATCACTCACACCATAAATGTGCAACACTCCCTTAAAAGTAAAAAGCTTTGGAGAAACTAATAGATGATTACTTTCAACCTGATCAGATTGCTACTCCCCCATCTCCCAGCCATACTGCATTATAGCTTTGGCAGAAAAATTGACCCCTGTGTCAGGCACAAAACAGAAAACACAAGTTAAAAGTTAACAGAAATGAGGAGTAACTGAATGGAGCTGAACGGCTAGCAACACAGCACTAACCAGACACTACTCCTTCAGAGATGCTTTAGGAAAATATTTCTCTTCCAGTTCTGGAGCCGAGGAAAGCCTCAGTGCCCAGCAGCGTTACAGGGGAGAGTCCCAGACGCCTCACTCCAGCGTAAAACATGAGCAATTCTACTAAAATCCTGGACCCCGTTAACTCAATAGGAACTCTGCCATCTCCTTCACCCAAAGAAATGGGGGTGTGGGATCAAATGTGGCCGGTTGAGGCAGAAACCACCCGGGATCCTGTTGGTCTGTCGGCACCAGTCACTTCCCAGCTTCCCTTTTCTTTACCTAGAGAAGAAGGGGAAAGGAATTACAACCACAAAGATTTCTCTAAAAATTAGGTTTTCTTGGATCTTAATTATAGCCATATTGATCAGAAAAAGTGTCCATCACAGTCTCTTCTGTCAGTGTTTGAGGATGCCATGGCTCTTCTCTCCACCTCTGGTAGATAACCATCCAAATTCAGATCTCCCTACAAGAGAACTACAGCTCTGCACCTTTTTAAAAGCCCGCTTGTATCTACAGCTGCCCTTCTGCAAAGGTGCATAGAAGAATCAAATCATATGAACTGCCATAAAGCCAAGGAAGAAATATGAACAATCTAGCCCAAAAGACATTTTGGAGGTTAGAAGAAAAGATTAAAAAACCCAAACAAACCAAAAAACCTACCACAGACCATTCAACGTGCGAAGCTCACACCTGAGAGTGCCACGAGAGACAGACGTGTTTTGAAAAGCTGCTGTGGATGTTACTCCTCAAAACTCAAATCTCTTCCACGCTTGTGCAGCCATCTCAAACCCCTAACAAAAGACCAGTCCAAGGCGGCTGCCAAGATGGATAGGATGTTCCAAAATAAGCGTAACATCGGCAACTTGAGTTGCCTGTTGCTGAAGCCGGTCTCTTTTCCTGTCGGCAACAGAGGGAATTAAGGGAACCCCGTTCCCCAGCTAAGCTGGATGCAGAAGGCTACATGGTGTAACTGCCCTCACGTCCCCACCGCTTCCCTACTGCCCCCTGCTCTCCTGCCCGGGCTGAGGATCCGCCTGTGCGAGGAGGATCCCTATGGGATAAACTGGCTGAAGTAGCTCCAGTGCCCACCCCCCACCCCTCCTTTCCAACACTCCTCCCTGTTGCAGACCTGTTGATTTTGCTTTTCCTTTCAAATATTTAATCAGAAGTTACCAGTCAGAAGTGCAGCTATAACATACCTATTCCTACGTACAAACTACCTGAAGGTTAATGAGTATATTACAGCAACGGTATAAGGCATTGTTCCTAACAAAGGTTGCTTACCAGGATTTCTGGCGTATAGCTGTTTTCGTTCAGAATTCATCCTGTGTTCTTCAGCAGAACGAAATTGCACTGACAATTTTTCAATAATTCTGGGTAATGAACTCTGAGAGTTTCAAGGTAATCTAGATGTGGTTTGGGGCTAACTATTAAACAGACATTTTATAGTGCCATAGTTTCGCATAAACTTGTTTCACAACTAACTCCGATAATTAATTAAGGCTTGTAGAAATCACTTACTGGGAGGATGGCCCAAAGGATTATTTTTCCCCATGCTATTTTCACATTCTACATTTATTGTTGTTCAAAGAGAAATTCAAGTATCTCATTGTTTATTTCTGAAGAGATGAGAACATGATGCAGTGCTGCTCATTAAATATCCATAGGTGTTCTCTCATCGACTTCCATTATGTCCCATTTCTAGATTTAATGATTTCTCAGTTCCCTTAATGATCTCCAAGCTAAGACCAAGCTCATCGGTTTTTTTAGTGCACTCATTGGTCAACTTGCCTTGCTGCCCAGACTCTGCCTCAGCTCAATACTCGCAACATTGACTGAAACATCTCTCTCCCCACTGAAGTTAAATTCTACTTGAAAAAGCAATTCAACATAATTAACCTCTTGCCTCTATTTTTTTCAATGCATCCGACAAAGTGGTTTCCCTCCATTGGAACTCTGGAATAATAAACTTGTAGAAAGTAGCAGTAACTGTATGGTAAGATTTGCTTTCATGACCCTCAATTTTGCCTCACAAATGAAACATCTAAGTTACGACTAAATGCCGGGAGCAGTAGAAGTAAACAATTTATAAAAAACAACAGCAATCAATAAAGCATGCCTTAGCAGCTGCTAATGCTATGCACTTGGTCAAGAAAGCCACTATTTAGTTAACATGACAGACTCACTTCTGAACAAGAAAGAGAAAGACCTGGTGGTAGGCTGAAAGATTAATAAAACAAGATAAATGAAAGTGGTAACATTAACATGTTTCCCACCTTGGAGTGAGTGTATCTCCAAGTGTGTCAGAGACATGTGGGAAAGGGAGGGAAAAGAACTAGTCAACTAATAACCCAGTTCTGTTTTATCAGCACTTACGTGTTTAAGGTTTGCCTCCCCATTTGCTATATTCTCTTTTAATCCTTTCAATCCTTCATCACTACCGAATGATGCGAATGATGGGTTAAGCGTCAAGCCACAGATACACCCATGTCAGGCTTGATCTGAACGGCCAAGAGAGTGGGACTGGCCTCACCGTGAGGAAACCCGACAAGAGGTCCATCAGGAGGTGAGGAAACCAGCTCGGGTAGGCTTTGGACATAAGGAGCTGGAGGAGGAGGAAAAGGAGGAGGAGGAAGGCCTTGGTGTGAGCGCCTGGGTTCTCCTGGTGCACAGGCTTCATAGATGTAACAGAAAGGAGCAGGCAGAAGAGAAGAGAGAGAATTGGTAGAACATTCAAAGGCAATGAAACGAGATGCCTAAAAACATAAGGGTAGATGCCAGTACTTGCACTTTAGGGGCTGCATGGCAGGAACTGCAAGCACACGCGAGGCAGCATCGGTGAGTGGGCTGCAACTAGATGCTGCTTCTGGTTACGTCCACGCTCCCTCCCTAATTCAGTGAGATGGAAGAGAGAAAACTGGAAGCAAAATCTAGCTACTGTGTTCAACAGACCATGTATTCGCTTTTACACACAGTTCTGGTTTGTCCCGAAGCATTTGTTTGCAGCGCAACAGCTTTCTAGATCTTCATGGTATTTTTAAGGCTTAAGTGTTTTGTCTCCTCCCAACTACTGAACAGTTATTCACACATCATGCTACTTAATTTAAAATGAACACTCATCAGCTAATTTCCTTGTAGGTGCAGGTGATATTTAGATGAGATTTTAAAAAATCAGTATCACCTTTTGCAAGTGCCAAAGGTACCAGTGCAGAGTAAAAACATTTTTTTCATGACAGCCAATTCCATTCCGTAATGAAACTAGTGGGAGATAGGCCCTTCACTTCCACGGGCACAATTCTGCACTCTCAATCATGAAAATAGTGCTCCTTGCTGCTTACTTCGGAAGTAAAGAGTTTCTTCTCTGCGTCAAGCTAAAAATGTCAGCTGGAGAAAAAAAACATACAAAGAAGCAGCCGGCAAGTGTCATTCAGCAGAAGTGTACGAATTTGTTTTGCATTCGCCGCGAATAGCCAGATCCCCTGTTTATATTTTTGGTGCGAGCAAGTGCAAAGCAAATGGGGTCAAAGTCTACTGTCAGCCAAGTTCAGCGCATGGCAATCTTTCCTATCCTTCCTACGTGGGGTATAATTTAGAGAAAATTTTTTGTTTGGTTCTCAGTAAGATTAAGTTCATTACATTAGAGTTTCCATTTTCTCCCATATAGGTGTTTTGAACCCAGAAATGTTTTATCAGCAGATTCTACTCATGAGCTCAAAAGCAAAACTTGAGTGACAAACTCAGCATGCTCCACTAAGTCACTCATTTTTAATATGGCCATTGGACAGAATTTATTTTTACTTCTTTTCCCCATATACTTAGAGAAATATGGCATAAAGCAAATAAACCAGCATATTTTATCATAAATGAAAGCCATAAAATACCTTATTATCATGGTTTTGTCTGAAAGGTTTTATTAGTAGACAACACAGGCCAGACGCTAAATCAATTTCATTAGGTAAATGCATCTCCAAGAAGCTTCTGGCAGGGCACATCTTGTAAAGTGGAAAATCCTTCCCACTGATGCAAGTCAAGAGCACGTTAATGAATTACGTCATTCTAAATTGGATCTTGCACTTAATGCTGATGAAGGCAGCTCCTCCAGACCTATAGGGCTGAAATCATTAATAGACCTCTAGGCGTGCTGAAGAAATAAAAAACACCCAAATGGTTTTTGGCATGGAGCGTTAAAAGTCAAGCAGTGGTATTTCTTCTGTGCATACATTTACCTTGGTGGTTATAGCCAGTACAGGACAGCAGAAGTGAGTGCAGACCTCTAACCCAAGGGGGAGATAAATGCAGACGCCTCCCTTTTAAATGCAACGTTTGACCCATTTCTGCCCGCGCAGCACAAGCCGTTTCACAAGGCCACGCTGCAACCAGCAACGCTCAGTGAGGCAAAGTCTAGTAGAAGATGGAGGTGTACACCAATCCACCCCGTCTCTCCCTCCCTCCCTCTTCTCCTTGGGCTCGTGCACCTAGGCAGGTCTTTTCATGACTGATGCAAATTTAAAGTCCTGGGTGTCGATGACACTACAGTACCCAGGACCTCCAGGTCCAGCGGGAGAATGATCCCCTCAGTAACCGGTAAGGCAAGTTTGGCCCCGGGATGTGGCGCTAACTCTTGCCTCACCTTATGGGAGGAGTGGGCCAGCCACCATGGCCATGGCTCTTCTAATCTTCTTCTCCAAAGGCCCCACAGGCACAGGCAAATGCCACTGGGGTCGGACGAACAGGACCCCAGAGCAAAATTCTCTGGGAGAAACTCTCTGTAAACTCCTCTGCAGAGGGAAAACAGCAGATGAACTAAGTATCTCTTTTTAAAAACCCTCCGCAAACCTGTCTTTGAGGCTATTAGTCTTGAGCACTAATGAGAGTGAATTTGTGTTGCCCACTAGATGGAAGCTGGAAAATGCTTCCACCCACAAACAATAAATGCACAGAAAATATGTATGATTCCGTGTCAGTAAATGCTTTCACTACCATAAAACCACCTACCAAGGTAATGTCAAAAAAATAACACAAATGTGAAAAACACAACTGAGTTGCACAGAGTGAATCTTTTTGAGGGTACTGATGTTTCTGACTAGTTTTGTTACACACACACAAAGACCTTTAAAGCTCAAAACAAGTATCACTCATACATGCTACAGTCATCTATCAGCTTTCTGCTATGCCAACTCTCTTGACATTACAGCTGGTAGTAGGGGGCGGGGAGAAAAGGAGGAAAAGAGGAGCATTGCAGCAAATTCTCACTGCTGGAATGTATGGTTTACAAAGTGCTTACTATTTCACGTTTATACTGAACCAACGTCCAGGAGCTCTAGTAAGGCGTAGGCACGCTAGAAGTTTTTATCAAAGACTGACACCTGTATCTCTAATAGAGCACAGCCAAA